TGGGAAATTCACAGGCAGCAAAAGGTACATGATTTGAAGATGAGTGTAAGACTATTTAAAATATATAAATAGTGCCTTATAGTCCACAAATATCAAAAAGGCATACATACTTGCTTAATTAGCAACAGAATTTAAATTCAGGAAAGTCCACATCAAAACTGGCTGACCTTGTCAGGATTTACAAATGTTAAGCTCAGATGAAGTTCCCTCTCATTCTTGCCAAAAATGTCTCCCACCTCCAACATTTTACATAATTATTTTCTCCTCTTGTCTCTTTTTCATCATGGTACAGAATTTATCCTTGAAGGAAATTTGTTTCTACACACTTATCTGTACAGTCCTTGCAATGAGGTCACCCACTCTAGGCATATTCAGTTTCTTTCAACCAAGCTGGGGTTACCTCCACCTATGCCCGCCTCCAGTCCTAGACAGAAGAAGTGATTCACACTCAGAAAAGTGAGATGGAAACACTACACAGGTACAGAAAGGGATGACTTGAGGATGGAGATACTCAGAGGAGGAAAGTGCCTGTTTATTATTGAAAAAAGAATAACCTTCACGAAGATCTGAAGTTCCTAGTGATACTTAGTATAGTACTGAAGAGTTGACATATTAGGATGAGTTTACATGTTACACTTTGATCGTGTTAGGGGCACTTAAAACTTAATCAATCACCCGTTTAGGTTCATTAGTGCTAAATGCCCTCTAGGTATCTTCAGGTGAGGATTATCTTTAAGTTGTGCTACCTACCTCAAGTTAAGTTAACTTCTGGGTGTTCATCTAAAATAAAACCCCCAACTTGTGGTCCTTCATTATCCCAGGATATGCACTGCTCCCAGTTGGACTAGCAATCACTGAGGACTCTATGACCCTGAACTGACACCTGGAAACAGCTGGGCAGCAGATGAGAGGGGAGAAAGGTGAAAGGGGTGAAGGCAGGGAAGAGAGGCATGAGAAAGAGGGAGCGGAGGAGCAGGAAGCAAGGAAAAGGGCATGGGGAGAGAGGAAAAAGGGAGTCCCCTCAGAACCCAAAATTGCCTCCCTGACCCCTGAATTGCTCCCTCTACCCCAAGAATATCCACCTGCCACCCTGATCACCCCATCAGCCCATCCACAACCAGATCACCACCCTGCCATCCCAATCAGCCCACAAGTGGCAGAGGCCTGAATGGGAGAATTCCCCCTCCATGTATACTCCTGAGGCACATACATACCACGTTGTCCCCACACAGCTGGATCCAGCCCCTGCCAAGTCCTGAAGGAGAGGCAGGGGGACAAGGAACTGCTGGGCAGCTATAGGACCCAGCAAGGGTTGGATCAAGTTGCACAGGAACAGGAGGGGTGGGGATGCTATCAGTGCTCTTGGGCTGTTTGGGGTGGCAGAGCAGCAACCTAGGGAGTGAAGAAATAATACAGGGGATGATGTCTGGCAGTGGAATGATTCAGGGCATAGCAGGGTGGTGATTCAATTGGTGCAGGGGGGGCTTCCCCCTTCCTCCCTGGTCTATACTGTGGCTAGAGAGCTGGCAAGCAGGGCAGCCATGGAGCAGACTTGCAGCCCTAGACATGTACCTGTTTACCAGCCCTCTAATGGCAGGTCTCAGCCATTATTCCCCTCTTATCAGCGCTGGTGAGGCCACATCTGGAGTATTGTGTCCAGTTTTGGGGCCCCCAGTACAGAAAGGATGTGGAAAAATTGGAGAGAGTCCAGTGGAGGGCAACAAAAATGGTTGGGAAGTTGGGGTACATGACTTATGAGGAGAGACTGAGGGAACTGGACTTATGTAGAGTAGAGAAGAGAAGATGGAGAGGGGATTTAATAGAAGCCTTTAACTACCTGAAAGAGGATGAAGCTAAGCTGTTCTCAGTGGTGGCAGATGACAAAACAAGGAGCAACGGTCTCAAGTTGCAGCAAGGGAAGTTTAGGTTAGACATTAGGAAAAACTCACTAGGAGAGTAGTAAAACACTGGAAGAAATTACCCAGAGAGGCTGTGGACTCTCCATCCTTGGGAGTTTTTGAAGACCCAGCTAGACAAAGCCTTGGCTGGGATGATCTGGTTGGGGAGTTGGACTAGATGACCTCCTGAGGTACCTTCCAACCCTAATTTTCTATGATTCTATAAGTGTATACACACACATATATGTATACACACACATACATGTGTTTGTACTTTATATATACCTGAAATTTTAGGCAAGGGCCTTTGGTTCTGGCTCTGCCATATTTGATATAGGACCAGAGAAGGTGGCAAAGTCGGTTTATGCAACTCTGTCCTTTCTGTAGTCTGGAGCAGGCTAGGTTAGAAGTATTTGTTTGCGAGATCAGATCAGGTCCCACAGGAACTTAAGACAAACTTATTTCTAACTTCACAGTGTCAAATCTTTGACTGCCTGTATAGGTCCAAATACACTATACACATTGGAAGTTAACTGCTATTAAATCCCAAAGGTGGCATTTGATGCTCACTTTGCATATGGATAACAAAAAGAGAAGGCTTCAAAAAAATGGAGAATCAGGTCACTGATTTAGGGGACCGGAGATGAATCATTATTTACTGAAAATTAGGCTCTATATTTTTGCTAGGTCCCATGTTGACCTAAATGCTTTGTGAACTACATAATTGTTATATTGCCTCAGAAAATTCAGCCACCTAGTTTAAAGACATGTTTACATCAGCCAACTCTTCTTTTCCTTTTAGTCCTTTGGGGTGAATGAGTTTGAAAGCATTTAGTAAATAAGTGTTCATCTGTGGAGCATGAACAGTACCACAGGAAGCATTCAGACAGATATATTTATGTCACTGTTAATGTACAAAGGATTGCTAAGCTCTGGTGGTTAGGTCAGTCTTGACGTAGATTTAATTTTCAAGATAAGTCTTATAGGATGTTGAATCCATGCACTTATATCAGTTATCTAGACACAATTTTCATTCTTACCATATTCTCAATAATACACGGTGGCTGTTTCAGACAAGTCAGTAAATCATCACTTTTACTGTGATCCCAGGAAACCCTGGATAAATTATACAACTCACACAGGGTTAAAACAAACAAATTAAACTTTGCAGAAGTACCGGATATATATAGAAAGGTTCAAAAGACATCTAAGGGCATGATTACACCACTACCAAGAAAAAGTCCTACCCAGTTGCTCTCACTCCACATTCACCAGATACTGGAAGAAATAAATGGTCATGATTATTGCAGTGCTGGGTATGTCCAGTGCCAGTCTCAGTAACACAGCTGAGACAAAACTTGAGAGCAAAGGCAGATCAAGAGAGGGTGCACTGCTGCACTTGAACCCCACTTTGATTCCTGCTCCACCCAAAGATTCAAACTAAGTACCTGGCAATGGTAGCAGCATTTCTAATCAGGCAGGGCTGAGAGAGTCATCCAACTTCATGGCTCATTGTAACCTATCTGATCCCTTCTAAACTCTTCATTCTACACAGGTGTTAACAACCCTCTCTTCTTTTTAATGATCTTGATGTTCCACCAATCCAGCTATCACTTGTTTTGCAGTCAGTGGTGATGCGAAGGGGGTGCACGGGGGAGCACATGCACCCCCTGAGAGCACTGGTGCACCCCTTGTCAGGCCACACTCCCCGTTTAGGCGTCGGGCAGGTGGGAGCACTGATGCCCACTCTGTGAGCGCTGGCCGGAGAGCGGGGCCGCCAGCAAAAGCGGCTGCGCCACTTCCAGAAGTGGACCCCCTGACTCAAGAGGCACCAGTCACCCGTGTTTGCAGTTGTGCTACTGTCTATTAGCTGTTCCTGATAATGAAGCTCCTATTTCACAGCCCTGCAGATTGTTTTTAAATCATTCCCATTAAGTTATATTTGTTTTTGGTTCAATGGTAAACTGAATAATGCAGCCCTAGGCCCCTAGTAAATATTAGTAAAGTTTCTAGTTTATTTTTAACTGGAGAAAAATGTGTATTGTGTTATATATAATGATACACCACACCATCTGCACCTCCCTTTCCAAAACTCTAGATCTGTCCATGCCTGAGAATGTTCCTGCCCATATGTCAGAAGCAAAGATATATTATTTTTTGGTAAGTAGTGCACATGGAGTGGGACTGAGTGAGCAGGCCTTGTTTTTGAGTGCTAGGTATAGGATCATCATGGAAGTAATATAGACATGCCCTTAAAGTGGGCAGGAATCACCACAAAAGGATGGAATCCAAACAACTTATTTCTCTTGTTGAAGAATTCTGCCCTTTCCTTTTTATTCACTAAGGCACAAGTGAAAGTATCTTCATATATAAAAATATAAACTCATTAGCAAAACCTACAGATCCCTTGTGTGTGCTATAATGTTTATTTAATCTGAATGTACTCAATGCAGCTTTAAAGTCCTTTCCTCCTACTAAAAGTATCCTTAAACATGTTTCCTGTATACATATTTTAGACCAGGGCTAATCAAAGTGTATTATCAATGTTTCAAACAGTATTCAACTGTGTGAACTGCAAAGCTTATTGCATGTGGAACTCTAGCATTGACAATATGTTATGTCATTATTCTTGCTATTCTAGTATGCCAATAAAATTCATTATTAAAAAATGGATTATTAGTATACCTAATATTATGTAGTACAGGTACATTCTGTAGCATAGCAAATGTACCCTCCTTAGGTGAATGGGAAACATTTGGCACATGTTCAAAGAAAGATCCCCATGCAATAGAAGTATGGCACAATCTAGTTTTTAACATTTTAAAATGTTAAACACCTCAGACATGGTCAAGAGCACCTGTCAGACATAGTCAAGAATTTTTGTGTTTTTTTCATTAAAAAATGTTAAAGCTTTTTTTTCTTTTTAACCAAACTGATATAATCTCATCCGGTTTAACCTTAGCCACGAGACACTGCTGTTTTCTTTTTTCAAAGATACACGTCACTGTGTGCCGAAAAAAGGGGAACTTCCACAGCTTGTGGTAAGGTTGCATGATAAACAGATCTGTTCCCACCAACGAAAGAAGCTGCTTGCATCAATAAAAAGCGGTGGCACAGTCTGTGAGCTGACATTTGCAACTCTACGGATTATCACTGCAGAAGACAACCCTACACCAAAATTAAGCAAAATGCCAGGATTATTTTTTTCCCACAACAACCCAACTGAATTGAAAGAAGCCGAATGCAAGGTCGCAGAAGGCAAAGTCCATAAAAAGAAGCAAAAGGCTTTGTAAGTACATGTGATGTAGTAATCAAATGTATTTGAAGTGAAATTCACATCAGGAACTTGAGGATTTAGAATTAGTGCCATTTCATAGAGTTCACAGGCACAAAGTGTTGAACAACTATAATATTACTACAACAGGACTTGAACTGAAAAGAATCTGGGGGAACAGATTTTTCTCTGTTAAAACAAATTAAAATAGGTTCAATATAGAATGGAAAGGAAGAGGCTTTATTTGGCAAGGGTCAAACCTCTTAGTGGGAACCTCTTGTTCTTCTGAGAGTTATTACATGTATTACTAGCCTGGCTGGCATCAACTATCAGAGTGAAAAACTCTAGCTTTAAACATGTACAAGTTCTAAGACTTTCTTTCAGAACATAAATACAACTGTATTTAACCAGAATAATGTATATATTACAAATGTTTGATCATTGATTTCAGTGGTGCTGATCTGAAAAGCTATTTGAAGTCCATGGTCCCACATCCTGAATCTGGCATCAAATCTTCTACCTCCAGAAAAGTTATGTAAGTATTCAGCTCTTGTAACATATATTAATAGTTAACTAAGGCTAAATTACTATATTCTGTCTTTACAAACTACTGTATTAATTTCTATAAATATACTGACTTCAGGGATGTCCATCAAACATACTATTTTATGGGAACTAATAAATTAAAGCTCCCCAACAAGTTTGTGAGGTAGGGAAATGTTATTATCCCTATTTTAGAGATGGGGAAATAGTAGCACAGGTTGATAAAATGACACTCTCAAGGCTATGGTAAAAGTTAATTAAAAATCTCAGGGTCAAATCTAGGTAATCATGGAGCCTTCCAGTCTTTCATTAACTTACTTGTATAGCTCTGTTTATTATTTGCCTCACTTGAATCTCCAAACAATGCTAGCAATTTTATGCAGAGTCAATTGTAAGTTTTAAGAATAAGCAATTCATGTTCATAGCATTCTGTAATCATTTAAGCCTTCCTAAAAGTACAATACTTTTTTTTTTATATTATATATTTTCCTTTCCTTTTTGTCACCATAGGTTTTCTGCAGAAGAGGTGATGCAATGGTCCCAGTCTTTGGAAAAGCTTCTTGCCAGCCAAAGTAAGTGCATTACTTTATTATTGATACTTTTTTATTATTGAACTATTACTCTTCTGATGTGTCTTAAATATAATGCTAAACCTGACTGTGTATTTGTGTTTGCTGTAGGAGGTCAGGGAGTCTTTCGGGAATTTCTGAAGTCAGAGTTCAGTGAGGAGAATATGGAGTTCTGGTTGGCCTGTGAAGAATACAAGAAAACCAAGTCTGATCACTTACATGGCAAAGCGGAGAGGATATATGAGGAGTTTGTTCAGTCAAATGCTGTTAAACAAGTAAGTACAAAGTTAATGTGTACATATTTATATTTGAAATATTATGGGATAGCCATGAAAAAGAACAAACATGTTATTCTAAAACAAATATCCATTTAATTAAATGGAAAAAAAAGGCATTCATGGTTTTGTTAATTTACCTATTATACTTCTGCTTTGTGCTCCAAGCCTACCAAAGTCTCACAAGCACAATTACATAAGGGAGGTCAATGAATGGATAAAATCCTGCTTGGAAAGTGGAGGTGGTAGTAATGATTCATCCGGTGCCACTCTTCCTTTGAACTGATTTGAACTTATGCCAAATAGGATATGAGGGCATCCTGCCTCAAACACCAACTAAAGTGTTGGTGATTTTTAGTCCTTAAAGATCAGAGACCACTTTGGAGTCGGGGGAGAAGGCAGGGAACAAGACAAATGTACTAGCATCAACCTTATTCCAAACTGTATGCTTAACATTCATCTAAAAAAAGTCCTCTTGTTATTTTACTTAAAGTTATTCTTTACTTCCTCACCTAAACTCTTGTGTTGTGGCTCTTCAACCCCAGGAGCAACTGTGTTACAACAATGAACAGTATTTCTTGTGTGCAGTTAGTGTACCAATTTTATATTTAATCGGTAAAATAAAAAGGCAGCACATATGAAGGCAGACGAATTGTTCTAACTTAAAAAAAAAACCACTTTGGAGTGAAATCGAAGAGTTTGTTTCAGCAAGATAAAGTAACAGAAAGAAGCAGGAAGCAAGTTTAAAAAAAACAAAAAACACATAACGTTTAATTTTCTCTTTCCAGATTAATATTGACTATCGTACAAGAGAAACAACAGCTAAAAAGGCTCAAGACCCAACCCTCACAAGCTTTGATGAAGCCCAAAAAACCGTCTATGTACTTATGGAGAGGGATTCCTATCCTCGATTCTTGAAATCCAAAGCCTACCTGAGCCTTTTAAACCACCTTCAGGCCAACACTCTCAAGTGAAGAGTCTGATGAAACAGAGAAATGGTGGTAGACTACTTATGTCACTTAACCTACAGATAGGTCTTCCTACATGGCTGGCTTTCAGTAGGGAGAATGGTAATGCTAGCCTCCGGAATGCTGGGAGGAACACAGAATAGCTCTGCATGCATGAGATTACTTGATAAAACCCAATGAGGAGGAAGGCACTGAAGCTAGTTTTTATACAAGAATGAGAGAGTAGAATGAGGGAAAACCTCCTCCCTAATTGCACTGAACTGAGACAGGAAATATTATTGTTCACATGGTACTGTGATTCTGACCAAAGTATTACAACTCATAGAACTGCCAGTGACTTGGATGAGGCAGGGTAATGTTCTTGTATCTGATAAAGATGGTTACGGAAGGGAAATATATCAACAATGGGAGAAAAAATTTCAGCTGATAATTTTGGTAACTTAAAAAAAAAAAAGCAGCTAAAAACATATCAGCAATGAAGTCTGGTCTATAAATGTTAACAAATGTGTGTGCAGTAATGGTATTGTATTATGGAAATGTATTATAAGCTTAAAATTTTGAATGGATTTTTATTTAAAATGTTAAAAACTAGATTACCCGATACATTGTATTCAACAAGTAGGTATGTAGCATTTCTTTACTCTTTAATTTATCGCAAAGTAAAAACAACTAACAACAGTTACTGTTTCTCTGGTCTTTTTGTTTCATTAATTCAAAGAGAAAGCTTACTAAGTTTTCTCATCAGAATTAAAGCACAGTTATTGTAACATCTGATTTTCTTCTAGTCTACTCATAAATTCCATTCTATATTTATCATTCTCTCAAAACCTACTCATTCAAATATTCTAGATCTTCCTTCTGACCCAATTCTTCATTACAATTATTATATATTAGCTAAACTCCAATTACTACTGAAGGGACATAGAATAAGGTCTAAATTTCTCTCCCATTTTTTGCACATCCACAACCTTATTAAGTCTTTGAGCAACAGTAAAAACTAAGAATAAAAACATCAGAGCAGAATTGCAGAAGAAGCTCCTCATCTTAGGTTCTTGACTTGTAAAACATACCAGATCATTCATACTTATCAATAATGACAGTAACTGGTGAGATTGACCAGCAGTGCTATTGCTACAGCACCGTGTTTTGGCAGGATGCTGTGTTGACAGAGACTCTCATTTACAATGCTAATATTAAAGTAAAGTAAAGGTCATTTTAAATTGTGCATTAAATTTGCTCTGCAAACAATGCAGTGTTGTGTGGGCAGCATATACCAAAAATGGCAGTGATGACTAGATGAGAGATTAAGTAAAAGGTCAGCCTTTAACCATACTTGAAAATACTAATATCAAAACACAAATAACAATCAAATATGTAGTTCTAAAACCTTGTGATGTCAGATGTTAACATGAAAATAAATAATCTGCTAACAATTAATTTTCTCTATGCACCAAGTAAACTCTTGCTTTTCTCCCTTACAATTTCTTTTTACACCTTTCTTTTAGATTTTCCATTTTCCTAAATTATACAATCAGTCCCCAGTCTTAATTCACTATTGCTGATATCAGGGAATGGAAACTGTATTTGTTTTATGCAAAAGGCATCTATACATACTTGCTTTCTGTGGAAAAATGACTGCATTTATACTTCCACCCTTTGCTGAAGGGCTTCTACTGGAGGACACTAACCTTAATATACAGCTAAAGTTCCTATGGAGTGAACACAAAAGGTACACTTGAAGCTACAGTTCCCTGCCCTCTTTTTAGTCTACCACCCTTTTGGGTTTTATTACTACCTGTATTGATGCACCAGCCAGTGACACAAACAGCCTTGTTGTTCCAGGTGCTGTTGATGTAGAGGAAAAATCTTTCCTTCAAAGACTATCCCCAATAAAGTTACAAGTACAACTGAGAGAATCTTCAGCTGTAAAAATCATGTGTTACCTATTGTGTTAATGATACCCAAAATAAACTAGGTTCCAGCTTCATCTCTCTGCAAACCTAATGCCTAGGGACCTAGCAAATAAAGGCAGTCACATAGATGTGGAAGATTACACAGATTCTCTCTGGGCATGTCTACACATGAAATTAATGTGACTGACTAAATTCTGGTGCAATTTCAGCCAGAGTAAATTAATCCTCATGTCACCATCTACACATGCATATAAGTGCAGTCATTTACTCCACCGATGGATAGTATCCATCCATGTCTGACAGGACTATCCTATACTGGAGTAAATTAATCTACTGGGCCCTAATTGCAGCACATGTGTAGACAGTGATGCTTTACTGTGCAGTAGACTAATTTACTGTGCAGTAAAGTGCACATGTAGATGCTTCCTCTGGCCACATCCAGATGTGCAGGCAAACACAAACCTCTTTGTGGTGCGACAAACTGTGCACATGGAACATTAAAATGTGCCCCACACTGCAAATTTGCAAATTTCCTGGCAAAAAAAGCACCAGGAAAAAAAGTGGCACAGAGGACACAAACATAGTGTGCACTGGAACAAACAGAGGCTTGCTTCTCCAGTGAGATGCTCTGGTTGCTGGCCAGAGCATTTCTACTACTCCATTTGTGCCCCTGCTGCTCCAACACACCCAGAGCCAGAAGGAGCTGGGCAAGGGCAGTTTGTCCAAAGTGGGACAGTTTGTCCTGCAACAAAGCATACATGCAGGGGCATGTGCTGAGGCACAAAGTGGCAGCACAAATTTGTGCCACTATTATTTATGCCACTGCATGCTCATGCCCCTGCAAATCTGGATGCAGCCTCTGTGTACAAATAAACATACATTCATTGGGCCACAGTAAAATGTTCCAACAGAAAAGATTTACAGAGAGAGAATAACTCTAAATCTGATCTAAATCAGACAGAGCAGGGAACTGAACTGCTTCGTTTTGCAAAATATTTCTAAAGGTCTCGATTTTCATTCCATGTTAGATTTTCTTCTTAAAATGAAATTCTTGTTTTGTGCCAATACTAGTTCATATACTGTATTCCAAGTTCTTCATATTACATCAAATAAGGCAAAAAACAATGGCAATAATTCTACTCCAACATCCACTCATGCTGAAGATATTCCAGCTCCCTAAAATGACCTTAGCAACACTGCCATATTCTGCCAAGGATAAACAGCAGAGCAAAAGTAATGGAGAGTGCTCTCTGTCAGGCTGCCATAATCTTAGTATTTTATAGCCGTTGCTATAGCAAAACTATACAAAGCTGGTTGCTTAAACAAAGTCTGAGAAGCTGAAGACATTTTAGCATATTTTGGAATTTCATCCTTACTAATCTATTTAATAAAAAACAAATGGCTGTGAGCAACACTTAAGTGGCACAACCTGTACTGCTTATGAACATCATGTTGAATTCTTCTCCAAAACATGGGAGAAATGTTGAAGTTTGTTGAATTTACCAATGTGCTAGGCATAATGCTTATTATGCAATGAATTCTTTGAAATGCTATATAAATGTAGGTTGTCTAAATTCATTAAAAAAAAAGAGACACAATATGATGGTTCAGAAGATTAAGGACTTGGTTAAGACTGGGTTCAATAAAAGCTTGTTGCTTTATTTACAAAAGCATGCACACAATGTCAAGTCTATTTGTGATCTGCAACTAACCTTATCCTTCCACCCACTCCACCCCACACATGCACACAAATAGTATCAGAACCATTATTGGCTTTACAACTGTAGGATGTGTGATACCAAAGTGTGGTAGTCTTCTGAAATGTTAGAGGTTACAAACCAGAGTATGGAAACTGTCCCTGTGCTAAACTATCCTGTACTTGTAGAAGAAATTATGAGTTATCAAACCAAAAGTATCATAAGGTCTTTTCCCATAGTAACTTTAAAAAAATCTAATACATCAGGATGAAATAGAGACTGTCCTTAATGAAGGACATGTTTTATTTGCTTATTTCCTTTCCTGCTAGTCTTTTACAAACTATAATAAATCTGCAATTAGTGAAAATGTTACACTGTGCAGAATTTTTTTCCATAGTCCTATATATTGGAAATTAAGTTTTTTGGTAGTGGTTGAGTTTTTTTCAGGGAGGTAGTTAGCCATGTTAATCTGAAGTCAGGCAGAAAGCAGGTTTGAGATGCACCTTATAGACTAATTTATGCATAAGCTTTTGTGGACCCTAGTTCAATTCATCAGATGCTGCAATTTGAAGATGTTTTAACGTCAACCTGGAAACAGGTCATTAGTGCTGGAGACAGGTGTAGTCTAAGAATGTGGTCAGGTACCCAGGACACAAAGGCAGCAGCAACTTCCAGTTGCCATGCCATAGCAATCGTGATTGTATGGCTGCCAGAAGCAGTTTTTTATTTTTTTGCTTCCCCCACGAGGGTTGGCGCATGGGCCAGTTGCCCCATTCACCTCACCCTAATAATGCCACTGGGAGAAAGAGGTTATCTTGTTTTTACTGATAATTAAAAATGGATTAAGTAATTATGCAAAATCACAACAACACTGAACTGAATAGATTTCATTTAAACTTTTGAAAATAATTCATACTGGGTCAAAGTCAATGGAAGTTCTGCCAGGCTGAGGACTTCAGACACAAACTGCATTATCTGACCTTTACTAAAAAGAATGATGTTGTAGGTCAAGTTGCTGATTTGATTTTTAGTTTTCCATGTTTAGAACATAAATAGAAGGCAATGAAAATCCACTGCTTTTTTATGGAATTTAATAATGCCCATCAAAACAGGTAGGTGAACAGAGGTATTTCATCACAAAGAGCCCAGATGCAGTACAAAAATGGCTCTCCATTTCAAAGCATAAGGATTTTTAAGCTCTCTTATGTGTGTTCTACTCTGTCCCTAAAGGAGACATTTTAATTGTCAACATTTCAGTTGACAAATAAATCATCTTTATCAGCAGAGCGGATGTTATTAAAAGTGAGAAAGCTGAGACTACTTCAGTGGAGATAATTTCTTAAAATGAGTGCCAAACATGCCAGCTTTGCAGTATCCAGACTTAAACACATGACTTAAGGAGACTACACTTTAGGCATTCACATTTGAAAAATGTGGCCTTAATGTGTTCTCTGAAA